TGTGTGTGTGTGTGTGTGTGTGTGTGTGTGTGTGTGTGTGTGTGTGTAGACGACAGGAGGAAGGGTCAGGGAAGCTGGGGACTGGGGGTAGGGTATAGGGAATAGGTAGAGACAGAAGAACTTCTAAATCTCAAACCCAAGACTAATAGACTAAGTCTTCAGGACAAACAACAAAACAAAAATTAATCAGCCGTCAAAGTCTCTTGTTAAAGAAAAACGTGTATTTTACAGTTGTAATTTTTTTTTAACATCAGCACATTCTTGGTGATGTGTAGTTAGAAAATTGTGTTTATCAGGGAAATTTGAATTCAGACTTGATATTAAATGGTATGGGGTGATTGTTAATCATTTAGTCAAGAAGTGATAATGATATACAGATATGTAAACAAAATGCTCTTATTTTCTAAAGGTATATGGGACTGTGTAGAGATGAACTGACACCTCAAATTTGCTTTAAATGGAAGGAGAGGCAGGGTATAGTGACAGCATTCTCAAAAACTAGGCATCATAGAAAGCCAGAAGCCTCAGCATGATGTATGTCCTGAAGAAAAAGTACCTTCCTGCCATAGTGATGATTTGTGCTTATGCCCTCTGAAAGTTCCAGTTTCTAAACTAAGTTCTGTCAAACCAACAGAAAACTTGTAGGAGAAATGATAGACCTGCCTGACAACTGTGGCCCCGGGAGAACTCAGGAACAGGTCTCCATGGCCCACAGGTTTATATCTGGGTCATGTTTCTTCAATACATTAAGTCTGGTGGTTGGAGCCTCCCACTACCAGCATGAGAAAATTTCAGCCCTTCCCATCCCACTCTGGCATTCCGGGGCACAGCTTCCTGGATGCTCTTAGCCGCCACCCAGGGGTAGCTGTGCTCTGTTAGGCTCAGCTATGAATGACACACACCTCTGATCCTGACAAGGTTTCCCTCACTCCTCCATCTAATCAAGGGGCTCAACAGTTCTCCATTAAGCGGTTGAGGACAGAGCATTGCCGAAGACTTAGGAAGCAGCTGACACACCAGTATCCAGACACTCCCAGAAAGGGCTCTTCAAGGGCTAAGCAGTGCTCAGGTTCAAAGGGCAGCCCTTCCGTTTAGCCAGCCTGCCTCCAAGATGGCGAGGAAGCTTCTGCCCCATGTGAAAGAATTCCAACACGGCACAT